GTTCCCCAGATGAATGCAATCTTTCTGTCTATCCCGCTCTTTCTGACTCATTTCGCTTAGCATGATATTTTCCATGTAGTACCACTTATATGTAAATTTCATGACTTCATCTTTTCTAACCACTACATAGTACTCCATTGTATAAATGTACCAAAGTTTCTTTAACCAGTCATCTGTTCTCGGGCACTCAGGTTTTTTCCAAATTCTGGCTATTGTAAACAGTGCTGCAATGAACAAACAAGTGCAGATGTCACTTCGACTATACTTTGCAAAAGACATTATTTCTGGTCCTCTTTTGTGGGAGCCACACCAGTGATGCTCAGGGTCTACTCCAGTGATGCTCAAACCTAATCCACAGGTCTCCTGTATGCAAAACATGTGCTCCAGCCTGTTGAGCTATCTCCCTACCTCTCTAGTTCTGGAGAGCTTTATCTTTTATACAATGAGCATAGCTGGGGAATACATTTTCCTTTACTCTTTTTTGTTACAGAATATTTGAGATGAATTTCCCACCTCTGTAAACGAGCTAGCCTTTGTACAAGCATTAAGTGAAAGAGTTATTAACATTTGCCCAAGCCGGTTCATCAATCCTAAATAGCTATGTTCTTTGTGTGTGTGTGTGTGTGTGTGTGTGTGTGTGTGTGTGTGTATAAATGGTGTGGGCTGTGGTCTCATTCACTTATCAAGCTTTGGTGTAATCATTGTCATCGTCCTCCCATTGTTCACTGATTTGCTCAAGCGGGCCCAGTAACATTGTGAGACTTGTCACTGTGTTCAGCATATTGAATACATCATGGGGAGCTTGCCAGGCTTTGCCGTGCGAGCAAGATACTCTCAGTAGCTTGCCGGGCTCTCCGAGAGGGGCGGAGGAATCGAACTTGGGTCAGCCATGTTGGCTGTGTGCAAGGAAAACGCCCTACCGGCTGTGCTATCGCACCAGCCCTTGGTGTAGTATCAAAAAAAAAAAAAATACCCGAGTCAGATGTGGCTCAGTGGTAGATCTCAAGTCTTGCATGTGTGAGGAGTTGGGGTCAATCAGCAGAAGGAAGGAAGGAAGGAAGGGAGAGAGAGAGAGAGAGAGACAATGATTTGAAAATGCCATCCAAATAATCCCCCTTTCCTAATTGTATTTTTTGAGGCAAAATTTTTCTTCTTATCTTTCCATCCAAACAAATTATCACTTTTTTTCAGGGCTGGGGCTGGAGCGATAGCACAGCGGGTAGGGCGTTCGCCTTACAAGCGGCCAACATGACCGACCAGAGTTCGATTCCTCCGCCCCTCTCGGAGAGCCCGGCAAGCTACCGAGAGTATTCGATATGCCAGACACAGTAACAACAAAGTCTCCAATGGAGACGTTACTGGGCCCGCTCGAGCAAATCGACGATCAACGGGAGGGCCTTTACCTTTTACCTTTACCTTTTCAGGGCTGGAGCAATAGTACAGAACGTAGGGCAATAGCCCTGCACTTGACGGACCTGGGTTCGATCCCCGGCATCCCATAGGGTCCCCCGAGCACCGCCAGGAGCGATTCCTGAGTGCAGAGCCAGGAGTTTTTGCCCAACCTATGCCTGAGCATTGCTGGGTGTGACCCAAAAAGCCAATATATATATAGATATATACTTATATATCTATATATATATCACCTTTTAGTACTGCAGGTAGGCACTTGCTTTGCATGCAGCCGACCCAGGTTTGATCCCTGGCACCCCATATGGTCCCCAGCCCATCAAGAGCGAGTACAGAGCCAGGAGTAAGCCCTGAGTATGGTGGATGTGGCATAGACTTTTTTAAAATCACTTTTTAAAATGAAGCAAATATAAGAATACAGATTTTATATGATTCTGACAAGCACTAGAGACTTAAATAAATGAGAAATAATTCCAGAGACTTTAGATTTGGGGAATCTATAGTTTTCATAAAAGCATATTACATTTTAATATCTAAAGGTTTATGTAAGATGAATCTTTAATTTTTTTTCTTTTGGGTCGCACCCGGTAATGCACAGGGGTCACTCCTGGCTCTGCACTTAAGAATTACCCCTGGCGGTGCTCAGGGGACCATATGGGATGCTGGGAAATGAACCCGGGTTGGCCGCGTGTAAGGCAAATGCCCTACCTGCTGTGGTATTGCTCCAGCCCGTTTTAATTTTTAATATGGGAAATATTAAAAATCTATACATAGTTTTTTAAAAAAGATCTTTAATTTTCCTTTGGGGCCACACCTGCTGGTCCTCCTGGGCTAATAATCAGGTGGTGGAGTTGGATTGTCTCTCACTGGTGTTAAAGAAACATGCAGTGCCAGAGAGTGAACCTGGGCTCCGGCATGCATGTACTCCAGCCCTTTGAGTTATCTCCCTAGCCTCTACCTTCAGTATTCCTTAAGAGTGCAAAGAGGTTCTGAGATCAAAGAACACAATTTCCACTATTCTAAAATAGTCTTTCAACTTTGGTTTGTTGTCTTGACATTCACAGGAAGTTAGTTTAGCCAGTGGGACATTTTTAGAACCTTCAAGAGGAAGAATTAGTCCTGTAAATTCATGTTCACAGTAATAGGTAAGTCTAGCAGGGTAGGACCATTGGGTTTATGAAAGGCAAGCCGAGGGTTCTTTGTGAAAGACAGTCTACAAGTCTGCATCGAGGATAGAATAACCTAAATCCCCTTTGATTAGGAATTGTGTGCTCTAGGTATGTGCCTCTATAGATTAGGTAGAACATCTTTTTGTGGTCAAAAAAAGACGAAACAGTATTTCAATTGGATCTCACCCTGTGTTCACTGTGTGTCACTGTCCTCCCACTGTTCATCGATTTGCTCAAGCAAATTGGAGACTTTGTTGTTACTGTGTTTGGCATATGAATACATCAGGGGTGGCTTGCCAGGCTCTGCCGTGAGGGCGAGATACTCTCAGTAGGTTGTCGGGCTCTCCGAGAGGGGTGGAGGAATCGAACTCGGGTTGGCCATGTTGGCTGCGTGCAAGGCAAACGCCCTACCGCTCTGCTATCGAGCTGCCTGTGTTCACAATTCCTCCTAAAGGGGGCATAATAAAAGTGTTAATAGTTGTACCTTCTCAAATTTAAGTCCAAGATTGATGTTGGTTCCCCCCTGTTGAGTCTCCTTTCAACAAGTGAACAACGTCAGCTCTGAATCTGAAGGTGAGGACCTCTTAGAGTCTCACCTTTAGTCTAGGAGTAAAAAGTAATGAATATACTTGGATATTGATTGGGTTCTGGATTCAATTAAGAAACAAAAGCCACAAAAACTGTTGGACCCATTTCGGCCTCTTGATGTCCTGAAATTGCCATCTCACTGTGATGAAAAGGCTCGAGGCTGTCTTTAAAACATCAAAATGGACAGGGACTAGCTTCGAACGGAATCGCTTCCGAAACGGGACAGGGCGGCACCAGGGAGGTCGGAGCAAAAAGTGACCGGAAGTCACCAGCAGGCTCCTCACTCCTTTGGTTCATCACAGGCAGACTCGAGGCCAGAACCTCAACATCCACCGGGTTGTCCGGTCACAAATTGACCCCGACCGCACCTCTTTCACGCGGACAAAGTAAGGGGTCACGAGCCAGAAGCCCCTGGGGCTGGCCGGCAGACTGACTCCACCTCCAGAGGCCCAGTGGAGCGGTTCGAGCTTCCAAGGCCTCTCGCCAGGACGCCCGGGGCGGGGGGCAGGACGGCGGGGCCTGACGCGGCGCGGACAAACGGCCAGCGACCCCAAGCTGTTGTGGGGAAGCGTCTCGACTCGCCTTCCCATCTGCGGTCGCCTTGCCCGCTGTTTCCTGGCGTGCCCCTGTCCTCCCAGGCGGCCGGTGCTGCCGGGCGGGCGGCAGCTGGTGCTCCAAGCCCTGAGTCATCGTCGTTAAAATGCCGGATTTCGGGAGCCGGCGTCCCCGGCGGCTCCCTCGGGCTCCCTCTCCTGGGGGCCCAGACCCGACCTCCGCCGCGACGCCGCCCTCCCTCCTCCCGCTCCCGGGTCTGAGCGCAACGTCCTGGGGGCCTCGGAGGCGGCGGCCGCGTCACCGGGAAGCGAGCGCGGGGCCCGGGGGCGGGGCCGGGACGCGGGTGAGCCGGGGCGAGGCCCCGCCCCGGGGAGGGCGCCGAGGGCGGGGCCACGCGAGGCCGGGGCGGGGCCTCGCGGGAGCCGCGCCACGCCCCCGCCGCCGCCCTCCTCCGCCCGCGGCCGCGCAGGGGTTAAGGCGGCCGGCGCCACCCGGGCGCCGCTGAGGAGACCCGCGAGTCGGCGAATCCCGCGCGAGCGCGGCGAACAGGTGCCCGCGCGCGTCCGGCGCCGGCGAGGGGCGGCGAGGGGGCGCGGCCGGAAGCGCGGGGCGGGCTGCGGCGGGGCCGGTGGAGCGGGCGGAGCCGCGGCGCGCCGGCAGGAAGGAGCTGGCCGGGCTGCGCGACGCGCGATGAGGCGCCGTCGCCCCGGCCCCTGCAGCGGCGGCAGCAGCAGCAGCAGCCGCCGCCGTCGCCGCTGCTGCCGCCGGGGCTGCCGCGGGGCGCAGGGACATGGAGCGCGGCTGCAGGGCGCGGCCGCGGGCAGCAGCAGCAGCAGCAGCAGCAGCAGCAGCGAGCGTCGCGGCCCCCGCGGAGCGCAGTCCGCCCCGTGAGGCGCTGCCCGGCCGGCGGCGGCGGCAGCAGCAGCGGCAGCAGCAGCAGCAGCAGCAGCGGCGGCGGCAGCAACAGGGCGGCTGATCGCCGGCCTTGGGGCGGGGGCGCCTCGCTCTCGCGACCTCCGCGGCCCCCGATCTTCCCTCGCGCCGCCTCCCCTCGGCCGCCCCCCTCTCCCCGCGCGCGCCGAGCAGCGAGTCCGGGGGCCGCGCGGGGCGGGGGCGCGGGGGAGGGGCGGCCGGCGCGCGCCGCGCCCAGGGCTCGCGGGGACCCGGGGGGCGCGTGCCGCGGGGCGCGGGGCGCGGGGCGCGGCGCGGCGGGGCCCCTCCCCCCTGCAGCCTGGCGCGCGCCGGCCGGGCCGCGCCGCACCGCACCGCACCGCACCGCACCGCACCGCGGCGGGCCGGGCGCGCGCGGGCCATGTCCGCCTTCTGCCTGGGCTTGGCCGGCCGCGCTTCAGCACCCGCCGAGCCGGACAGCGCCTGCTGCATGGAGCTGCCCGCCGCGGCCCCCGACGCCCTGGGGAGCCCCGCCGCCGCCGCCGCCGCCGCCGCCGCCCTCGTCTCCTTCCCCGGGGGCCCCGGGGACCTGGAACTGGCGTTCGAGGAGGAGCTGGCGCTGCTGGCGGCCGGGGAGCGGCCGTCCGAGCCCGGGGAGCAGCCCGCGGCCGAGCCCGCGCCGCCGGCCGACGGGGCCGCGCCGCCGCCCGCGCGGGATCCCGAGCTGCTGTCGGTGATCCGGCAGAAGGAGAAGGACCTGGTGCTGGCGGCGCGGCTGGGCAAGGCGCTGCTCGAGAGGAACCAGGACATGAGCCGGCAGTACGAGCGCATGCACAAGGAGCTGACGGACAAGCTGGAGGTGAGGCCCGCGCGCCCCACCCCGGCCGCTGCCGGGCTCCCCCGGCGCGCCCGGTGGGCTGGGGGAGAGTTGGGGGCCGTCGGACCGCTAGCACCCGGAGCCGCCCGGCCTGCTTTGGGTTTTTTTTTTTTTCCCTTCCTCTCCTTCCACCTGCTTCTTCGCACCCGGTCCGTTCCCAGTCGCCCCCGCGCGGCGCCGGCCGTTCTCCCCGGGCCCCGCGGCGGGAGTCCGGGGCGAGCGGGGGCAAGACTGATTCCTACGGCCTCGCGCGGGGACGCGTGCGCGCGCAGGGCGGCCGGTCCCGGAGCGGTTTGAAGCGCGCCCCGGCTTTTCTCGGAGGAGCGGCGAAGCGCTCCGATCCGGGGGCGAGCCCGGAGCGCCCCCGTTGGCGAGCGCAGACCTCCGGGCGCCCTGGTCCCAACTTCCCGGCAGCTCGGCGTGGCGGGGACCGAGCGTCCCTCGAGGGGCTTCGTTGAGAGGTGGAGTCTCCAGACACTCGGGGATTCGGCCGTGCTCGGCCCCGCAGACCCGGGCCCGCCTGCGCTCAACACGTGACCCCGGGAACTGGCTTGATTAGGACCCCCGCGCGCTGCGCGTATTAAAAAGTACTTTTCTGTGTCCTGGGCTCACGCGCGCAATGAGCTGATGTGACCTTTGAGCGCCCCGACCCTTGACTTATTTTAGAAAAGCCCTTCGTGGGTATATGTACCAGCTCTCTGGACCAGAGTCGTTTGAAGCGGTGCCCGGATTTCTCGTCCTTAACTAGGAAGCGGTGCAGAAGGCCAGCGTTTGCAAAGCCTGGGTTTAAGCGCGGGGGGCGGGGAAGCGAAGGACACCTCCCGAAATGAGGATTATTTATTTACTGTTGTTACCCAGTGGCAGCGGTTCTTTGCGTCCTTGGGAGGGAACGGTACGGCCCTGAGGTCCTGGGGATGGCCTGAAATGGACCCTGTTTGGTTGCCTGCCCCTGCGATTCTATCACTCACTACCGTCTGGCTGTAGATTCAGATTCGTTTCTATCTGAAGATTTCGGTGTGTCGGTAGTCTAGTCAAAAGCAAAGCAGGGAGACGAAAAAGGAAGCCAGGTGGTTCGGTCGGCATGTGAACTAGGTCTGGGGCCTGATGAGCTCCCGAGATTCCCTCTGAAAAGGGGTTTGTGAGAACCTATAGGTAGACTGCCAAAAAACAACCCAGTGGATTGAATTGTTTGATTTTCTGCAGAAGTAGAGGTCTGGAAATAAAAGAGTGTCTTTTTTTTAAAAAAGGGGAAAAAAAGATTCAGTTACCACAGCTATGTAAAAGTACTGCCGCAGAGATTTCTTGGGTGATTGGCGGCTCGTTCAGGGGAGAGGCTTGATTGAAGAGACAGCTCACTTGAAAGGACCATCAGATCAGTCTGATTTGCGGTGGATTTCAGAGTGTGCAGTTACATACAATCTGGGTTCCCTGCGGAGCCTTATACATTTATTCAACAAAGAAAAAAAGATCGCAAACTTCCACACTACAAGGAAAGTTTTATCAATAGTGAAAGTGTAAATTACCTCCGATTTTGTTATTCACTTGATAGACAGTAATATCATTTACAGCTCAGACTAACTTCTCAAAAATCTGCATTCTCGTAGCAGGCATATGAACTATAGTGTTAAAAGTTTATTTCTGATTTGTGGTGATTGATTTTACGCCATTGTGAGTGTATTTAAAGCTCCATCGCAGTGTGCTTAAAAATGGTTAAAAATGTAGGGAATGAGAGATAGCACAGTAAAGGCGCTTGACTTGCACAAGCCAAGCCAACCTGGGTTCAGTCACAGCCAGGAGTGATCCCTGAGCACAGAACCAGGAGTAAGTGGGCGCTGAGTAGTCTGTTGTGACCCGAAAACAAACTACTCAAAAAAGGTTGAGATGCAAATTTTATGTATACTTGACTGAAATTAAAATAATTCTTAGTATTTATTTATTCATTTATTTTTATTAGTGAAACACCATAAGGTATAGTTATAGACTTACAAATTTTTTATTTTTAAAAGTCAAATAAGTTTATCAGTGTAAGCTGCATGATGGGGTAGAAGTACTTTTATCCCCATGCATGTTTGAAATTATTAAAAACTTAACTTTTTTGGTTTGTTTTTATTTGTTTGGAGGAGAGGGGGCCCACACCCAGTAGTTGCTTGGGCTTACTTCTGGCTCTGTGCTCAGAGGTCATTCCTGGCAGTGCTCAGGAGATTAATGTGGTTCCAAGTAGTGAATTGGGGTCAGTAGCACGAAAGGCAAGCATCTTAATCCCTGACTATCTCTTCTGCCTTTTTATTTGTGTGTCAGATTTTGATTTTGAACTCAAGTATATCTATCTATATATTTAGATATATATACACATATATATCTATATATCAACCCTCTGAGTTATCTCCTCAACCCTGGCTTCAGTATTTTTTAATGTATACTTTAAAATATCTTTTATATTATCATTAGTCGCTTTCTAATTCCTTTAGTATTAATGTGAGAGTACAAATCTGATTAGCAGATGACTGTTTCATTTGGTACTTGCTGATAAATTTTTCCTGTACTATTTATTTCTGAGCAGCCTAGATTTTAGAATGTCTGCTTAGCAAAATACTTTCAAAAGTTTGGTTTTTTCTTTTTTTTTTATTTTGGGGTCACACCTGGCACTGCTCAGGGCGTATTCTTGGTTCTGTGTTCACAGATCATACTTGGTAAGGCTCAGGGGCCATATGTGGTGCCAGGAATTGAACACCGTCAGCCATGTTGAAGGCAAATAAGTGCTTTACTCACTGTACTGGAACCATTTTTTAAAGTTTAACAGCTATTCCCTATATCAAACTAAATTGAACATTCTTGAATCTTGAACCAACCCTTACTTTAAAAAAGCATTTTTAGGGGCTGGAGAGATAGCACAGCGGGTAGGGCGTTTGCCTTGCACGCAGTCAACCTGGGTTCGATTCCCAGCATCCCATATGGTCCCCTGAGCACCGCCAGGAGTAACTCCTGAGTGCAGAGCCAGCAGTAACCCCTGTGCATTGCTGGGTGTGACCCAAAAAGCAAAAAAAAAAAAATTTAATATTCCATGAACTGGTGAGACATTGGAGTCAAACACATTTTATCATCAGTTGGTTTGAAAAATACCTTATTGTACCAAGAGTATGGTGGTTTGACTGTTAACATTGTGTGTTAATCATAGTGCTTCTTTGACAACATGAAAATTGCACCTTTCTAACTTCAGGACCAAAAAGTCATTTCCAGCATGTTTTCTACCTATTGGTTAGTTCAAAACCCAATATTCGTTTTCTCACTTAAAACATAAAATACTGGGCCAGAGCAATAATACAGTGGGGATGGTGTTTGCCTTGTACACATCCCACCCAGGTTCAATCCCCAGCATCCCTTATGGTCCCCCAAGCACTGCCAAGAATAATTTCTGAGTGCAGAGCCAGGAGTAACCCCTGAGCACTGCCAGGTATGCCCCTACTCCCCCACCCCCCAAAAACCTATAAAATACCTTTTTTTTTTTTTGACCAGAGAGGTCACTCAGGAATAGAGTACTTACCTGTATGTGTGAGGCCCTGTGTTTAATCCCACAGCGGGTAGGGCGTTCGCCTTACAAGCGGCCAACATGGCCGACCCGAGTTCGATTCCTCCGCCCTAGCAACTCAAGGCAAATAAAACACTCTTCTATTCTTTTATTGAATGAACATCCTTTAAGGGCTGGAGAGATAGAGTTCAGGAGTGAAGTTGCTTGCCTTGCATGTGGCTAATTCCCTTTCAGTCCCTGGTATCACTTATGGTTCCCAGGGTATTACCATAAGTACTAGACTCTAGGCACCACTAGGTTTGACCTAACACCGTACCTGTCCTCATCAAAAACGAAAAAACATATATATATATTCATATATTTTTGTCCACACACATATAAACATTCCTTAAAGTCTAAAGTTTAATGTAAAATATAAAAGTCTAAGGTTTAAAATGAAGATTCAGTTTAATTTGGAAGACTTAAGGTATAGCACGGCGGTAGGGCGTTTTTCTTGCGCGCTGCCAGCCCGGCTAAGCCGGGTTCGATTCCTCCACCCCTCTCGTAGTGCCGGGCGAGATACTCTCAGTAGCTCGGCAAGAGTATCTCGCCCGCACGGCAAAGCCTGGCAAGCTACCCGTATTCAATATGCCAAACACAGTAACAAGAATTCTCAAAGTCTCTCAAATGTATTTTTCCGTCTTTTATCCATTCACAGAATTAGACTATTATGCCTTGTAAGTTTCCAAGGTTTTTTATTTTTTTTTTAATTCTGTCAAAAATGAGCCCTTTAGCTTTCTTACTGATCTTTTTGTTTTGTTTTGGTTTCAAGACCACACCTGATGGTGCTCAAGGGGTACTCCTGACTCATTTTTCTGGAGTTGCCCCTCACAGTCCTGGGGCACCATGCTGGGGCTTGAAGTTGAACCTCCTGCATGCAAAAACACTTTTGCTTTAAAAAAAAATTCATGAGGCCTTGAGGTTTTTTTCAGTCCACCCCTTAGAATATAAACTAAGACATTAACTTGCAATTTATATACTTTTATACCCCAGTTATTAAGATTTTTGTTCAAAAAAAATTTTAATATACAGGATCTCTATTTTTCATTCCATCTGGAAATGAATACTTTCACTGCAGAGGTATTCTTGTTACTCAATTTCATTTTCTTCCTCCCTCCCCCAGGCCAATTCTCATGGTTCTAGTACTATTTTAAGAGACTCAGACAGGTATAATGAAAAATCACTGTGTAGAGGAAGTCACAAATAGATTTAGGGAGGTAAACCCAAGGGTCTTATATGCATTCAGGTCATGTCTGCTTTAAAAATAGAATTTTTTTCTCGTGTTTTTAAAGAACCATATCCTGAACCTGTAAGAATGATACTGCCTTTCAAAAAAATCTTTATTTGCAGAACTGCATTTCTGTAACAGTTTTAGATAGGTTAATGATACTGGGTCTTTTTTTCTAAGTTAAAAAATCAACTTATTTTAAGAATGATTTTTATATTCACAGAGAAATGAAACAAGTAGTTTCCATGTACTCTGCACCCAGTTATTTATTATCTTGTTACTATAGAAGACTTGGCAATAACTGATGAATCAATATTGGTACATCATTTTAAGCTTATTTATTCAGTTTCTCTCAGCCTTAATGTCATTTTCTTTTCTTGGATCCCATTCTGGATGTTACATTTAATTTTCATAACCCCCTTTCTCCTCTTTTTTGTGAGTTTGTTAAGACTTTCCTTTTTTATGACCTTACAGATTTTGTTGTTGTTCTTGTTGTTTTGTGCCCAGCTGTGCTCAGGGTTTACTCTTGGCTCTGAAGTCAGGGATCTGTCCTGGCAGGGCTCAGGGAACCCTCTGGGGTGCTAGGGATCAAACCTGGGATCAATAAAGCAAGTGTCCTACCACTATACTATAAATCTTACCCCACTCGTACAGATTTGTATATTAACATTTGAAATGCCTTATAAAACCAAGTGACAAGGAATAGTGTGGCAAGAGCCTAGCTTCCATACTTCATGCCTAGAGTTTATTGGTTAATTTAAAATGTAGATCTAGCAGAAAGCTTTCTTTTCGTGAAAAAGCTTAAGAAGCCGAATTCTCCATATTCACTAATAGGAAAATGTTGGTTTGTTCTTGAAGGAGAGGGAAACCTGAATTAGGAAATTTGTCACATGTCCAGAGAAATAGGACGACAGAATAGACTGATCGGTGCCACCTGTCCTCAGTCCCTCCCCCCAGTGGATTGGATTGTTATAGTGCTTGGTCGGGCTGTTCGAGAACAGCTGTTTGCTGATTATTTTTAAGTCTCTCTGTTCTTTTAGAATGCAGGCCTAATTTATCTGGCCTTTCAGCAACTCTGTGATTATTGAGTTCTTGCTGTTGCCTTCTGCTCAGTCTTTTGCATTTTGGAAAAACTTAATAAAGCCACATTACAATTTTAGTATTGCTGTTAGCATTGACTTCTGTGTTTAACCTCTCCAAAGTTTCCACAGTGACAAAAAAAAAATTAATTTTGGGAAGCTTAGCAGCACAGGGAAAGTGGAGAATGGGAAATTCTCATGCCAGCGAGAACCACCCTGAGTTGTGATTTCTTCTCCTACTTGCTCCCATTTGAGATAGTATGACATATAAATGCAGGCTTTTTCTACTCTGGAGAAACCTGTGCTCCCTCTTGAACTCCTATTCTTCCATCACATCTCTAAGTAAATTTCCTTGAAAAAAAATTACCTTTTTTTCACAAAAAATAAAATGAATACATTTTGACTTTTTCAACATATAGAGGCTGTACTCAAATGTTATCCCTTTAAGGGGCCAACTTGAGAGGCTATATACTTATTAAAATATGCATAAATGAAATATTCTGTTGCTAATGGCAGAACTTTAATTTTGAAACCAACTTTTTCTTTGGCACATTCTTTTGACTGCTCTGTCATGGTAGACATCTTTTGGGAGTAAATTTGACTTTCAGAAACATGAGTTACTCAGAGCAAAGAAAGGGGAATGAGATGGTAGGATAAAATGGAATAATCACAGCGGTAGGGCGTTTGCCTTGCGCACAGCCAGTCTGGCCGAGCCGGGTTCAATTCCTCCGCCCCTCTCGGAGAGGCTAGCAAGCTACCGAGAGTATTCAATATGCCGAACACAGTAACAAGAAGTCTCACAATGGAGACGTTACTGGGCCTGCTCGACCAAATCGATGAACAACGGGAGGACAGTGTTTGTTTGAATCTCTTTTTTTTTTAGGCTGAGATGTGAAATGACAGTGCTGGTTTTCTTGTATAACTGTAAACTGGCCCTTTGGGATTTTCTAAAAGCAGCATTCCAGAAAGTACTTGCAAAGTGAGAACTTGATTGAATAAGAATGTGGCTTTCCTGGACCATGGAGATAGCTCAGAGGCTGGAGTGCCTGCTTTGCATGTGGGAAGACCAAGATTCAATCCCCAGAACCATGTAGTGTTAAATACCCACCCCCCACTGACCTCCCCTCACCCAAATGTAGCTTTCCAAGGTGAAGGAGGTTACTAAGTAAGAACATACATTCATTTTACATCTGTTAAGGGGACCACACCCAGTAGTGCCTCAGAACTATTTCCGGCTCTGTGCATGGTGATCGCTCCTGTGGTACTCAGGAACCAAGTGGTGCCAGGAATCAAGTCCATACCTCTTGAGCACTTGCTCAGCTCATTAAACTTACCTCACCAGAGCCATATAATCATTTTGATTTATTGAAATAATCTCAGTCTTGAGGTTATACTTCAGTGTACTGGAATTTCTCGAAGACTCAAAATAGGCAGGTAGGGGATAGATAGGAGTAATCCCTGGATGCAGAGCTAGGAGCAAGCCTTGAGACCTAAAAACTAAAAACTAGTCTCTCATACTATGTGTTTAAAGTCGGAGTGCCTCCTTTGCCTCAGAAAAGAGACATTGGGGGTTCCCCCCCACAGAAGTAAAAAGATGTTCTTCAACTCAATGATAATCATTTTCTGTTGAGCTGCTTCTTCAAACCATATGTACTTTCACTGCATTTTATCACATATAAATTAATAGCTTCTCCCACTAGAGTTAAAAACTCTATAAAAGTAAGGACCATGTCCTTTGCTTACTTTGTTCTTCATTAAGTTTCCAGATACAGTGTCTGACCCATATGAAAACTCAAGAATGAATCAATGTATTGGAAACAAATATGCAAGGCAGTATAAAGTCATTTAAAGTAGACCCAAACTTGAACTTGTTTTAATGACTTTGGTAGACAGTGCTGTGTATAGCAACAAATGTTTATTGGGCTATAAATTATAGCTTTGGTTTTATTCTTTTTGAGGGGACTGGGACCACACCCAGCGGTGCTTAGTGCTTACTCTTGGTAAAGGCCCTCCCGTTGATCATCGATTTGCTCGAGGGGGCCCAGTAACGTCTCCATTGGAGACTTTGTTGTTACTGTGTCTGGCATATCGAATACTCTCGGTAGCTTGCCGGGCTCTCCGAGAGGGGCGGAGGAATCGAACTCGGGTCGGCCATGGCACCATATAAAGTGCTGGGGATTGAACCTGGGTCAGCCTGGAGCAAGGCAAGTGCCCTACTCACTGGATTCTCTTTCTGGCCCCAAAGTTTTCATCTTTATATAACTGCATATAAATGATTATAAACAAAGCCTGGATTAGGACAGATTTGAAGTTGTTTATATGTTTTGTTTACTAGGTAGTTCTGGTGAGATTGTCTCTAACCCCATACTCAAAGACAGGAATAAATAATCTTTACGGCCAAAGAGATAACTTGATGGACTAAACATATTCTTTGCATGCAGGAGACTTGAGTTTGATTCCTGGCACCTCTAGATTTCTGAAAGAAAAAACAAAAAATCAAATAAACAAAAGCAAACTTAAAAATCAAGTGTAGGACTCTCTTTTGTGAGAGGACCTTTCCCACTCTGGTAGAAAGGAATGTTTTACTTACTGAAACGGACAACTTTCTCCTGTTTTGTTGTCGCCAGGAGAAGAGAAAATTTAGAGTGTGGAAAGAGCAAAAAGAAAGGAAAGACGCCATAGTTAAAATCCTCTCTGCTTTTTATCCAGCACTTAGAACAAGAGAAACATGAACTGAGAAGAAGATTTGAGAACCGAGAAGGGGAGTGGGAAGGGCGTGTGTCAGAACTGGAGAGTGATGTGAAACAGCTTCAGGATGAGCTGGAGAGGCAGCAGCTTCACCTACGGGAGGCAGATCGAGAGAAAACGCGGGCTGTCCAGGAGCTGTCAGAACAGAACCAAAGGTTACTGGATCAACTCAGCAGGGTGAGTCACAAATTTTGAAACAGTTTCTGTGTGATGGCAATCATTTATTTCCTAAGAGGACTTAGGATTTTGTGTTACCTTGGATTTTGATATCAGCAAGTATTTTTCACCCCAAGAACTTCAACCGTGTCAGGCAGGAGTTAGGAGTCCAGATTGTGCCATTAACCATACTTGGACAATCTGCTGAGGGTTCTTCCTTTCCCTCTCACTCTCTCTTTACCTCTTATTTTTGAATCATGCCTGGCAGTGCTCAGGTTTTACTCCTGAGTTTGTTCTCAGAGATCTCTCCTGGTGGGGTTGGGAGATCATAATGGGCTGCCAGGGATTGAATCCCCATCAGCCGTATGCAAGGCAGGTGCCCTACCCACTATACTTTCTCTCTGGCCTGATTTTCTTCCTTTCTAAGGCTGAGAAATACTTTTTTGTCCATCTGTGCCATGCAAAGCAATCCCCTTACCTGCTATATGAGCTCTCTGGCCCCCAGAGAGTTTTCTCATTTTATTTTGTTTTGTATTCATATTTTTTGGCTTATTTTTTGGGGTCACACACAGCTGTGCTCTGAGGTTTCTTCTGGCTCTGCCCTGGAAAATTTCAGTAGTGATTTTCTTTGATGTTGCACTGTAGCACTGTCCTCCCATTGCTCATCGATTTGCTCGAGCAGGCCCAGTAAGTCTCCATTGTGAAACTTATTGTTACTGTGTTTGGCATATAGAATATATCATGGGTAGCTTGCCAGCCTTTGCCACGGGGCGAGATACTCTCAGTAGCTTCCTGGGCTCTCGGAGAGGGGCAGAGGAATCGAACTCAGGTCGGCCAAGTTGGCCGCGTACAAGGCAAATGCCCTACCCGTGACGTTATGTTTGTAATATACATTGTTTTATATTAAGAAAGGGCTGGAGCGATAGCACAGCGGGTAGGGCGTTCGCCTTACAAGCGGCCAACATGGCCGACCCGAGTTCGATTTCTCCGCCCCTCTCGGAGAGCCTGGCAAGCTACCGAGAGTATTCGATATGCCAGACACAGTAACAACAAAGTCTCCAATGGAGACGTTACTGGGCCCGCTTGAGCAAATCGACGATCAACGGGAGGGCCTTTACCTTTTACCTTTTATATTAAGAAATGAGGTACGTGTTAAAGTTTGTTTTATTTCTACACTAAGTAAAAATGCTTTACTTATACCTTTATAGAGGGGTGTGTAGAAGTATTAATTAACCAAGGTCAAGACTAGTTAAGTGAAGACTGCATAGGTGGAAATCTACTTTAAATGCAGAACATACCTCTTTAACAAATGCAGGAATGGTAATGCCCTGGTTTTAAATCCACATACTTTTGAAAGTTAAGAGCTGGATTTACTATTGTGTCTTGGTTCTTATGAGTTGAAATAAAACTCTTCAGGAGAAGAAAATAACCTATTCTCTGATTTCATCCCTAAATGCAAATGATCTATCTCTCTGTCTGCTTTTGTCTGTGTCTCTCTCTCTTTGGTTTTTGGGTCACACCCAGCTTTGCTTAGGGCTTACTCCTGATTCTGTGCTCGGGGATCATTCCTAGCAATGTTCAGGGAACCATTTGTTGTGCCAGAGATTGAACCCAGGGTTGCTGTGTATAAGGCAAGCGCCCTACCTGCTGTACTGTCTCTCTGGCCCAGTTTTCATGGGAGCATTACCCTTATCTAAGTGGTTGGTGTCTGGTGTTAAATTCTTCGGGAAAGGCTTAGCTTGATTAGTGTATAGTAAATTCCTGGTGCTTCTAAAAATTCAGTATATGACACTGTATAAAGTTATTTAACTTTTTTGTGTAATGGTTGATTCTCATGAATACGCCTAGACTGATGGAAAACTTCAGAGATATATTAAGTAAATGCTAGAGAAAGAGAATGGAAGAGATATGAAGAATGAAAGAAGAACATGAAGAGAAAGTGTGAAAAAATATAATATCCAATCATTTGGAAAATGCTGCAGGAAATGCCAGAACAAATATGTGGAAAGAGAGAATTCAGGTGATAGGCCAACCTGCAGGCTTTCCATACAGGGAATCAGTCACCGTGTGATTGACTGGAAGGAAGAGCCGGACAGTTCCTCAGCAATTGGACATTTCGTCGGGGCTGCTCAGGAGCAGCGTTTCTCACTCAGTTCTGAATCCTTCTTGGCAGCTCTCAGGGGTGTATCTCTCTTTGTAAGGTTCTTATAGGCTTTTGAGCTTTTTCATTTCTTATTCATGAAAAATTAAACCAAACGGACTGGACCAGATTTACTTATTCAAAAACGTTAAATACTTATTCTGAGGATTTTTTCTTAATGGAGACTTACAAAATGAATACAGCAAATCGGAGCAAATAAAGGGAAAGTTATTTCTTGGGGGAGGGAGGGATAAGTTCTTTTTAACAGAATCACATAAGGAGAAGCAAAAACTGCTCTCTAGGCTGATGAAAGACAGGTGTAAGTGAGAAGAAGATTAATATTAACGTATCAGAGAGGGCTTGGAACCCATGTAGAGGGACAGGGAGGTGGCTCTGAGGGCTAGTGCCAGTGCTTTATTCTCAGGAGATCCAGCCTTCATCCCTGGGATCACAGGGTCCCCCAAGCACCACAGGGTGCACCCCCTTTGGCCTCAGCTCTAAGTTGGGAGGAGCTCCTGCAGGCTATAGGTCCATGTTGAATCTCAGCTGCTGAGTAACTGGGTGACCTTGTTTGTGCCTCTTTTTCGTTATCTTTAAAATAGGGGTAGAAAGAGTATCTTGCACAGGTACAGCTGAAATAAAAATGGATGACATATTTATGCCGAACAGTTCGTGAAGGCTGAGATTTGTTCATTGTTGACGATAATTTTATGAAAGTAATATCTGCATAGTTAAAGTTCCTTTGCCTGACTTCTCTGTAGGAAATCCTGATAAGCTACTCCCTAAAGAATGTCGGTGGGAATTGTTTTCCCTTGGATACTGATTCTTGGTGTGCTCTCTGGCCTTGAATGTAAGCCCTTGGTGAGTTTTGTGGCTTTTTACCACCTTGGTCTTTTTAAGGAGGACAAGCCCCTGGGGTTTCCTTGAGCACTCAGCTTAAAATACATTTTAGTATCATTTTATTAACCGGGTATTTAGGAGCTAGAGGAGTTGAGTACTCTGAAGTGAATTCAGATTCTCCTAGAAAAAGATAACCTGCACAGAAAAGTAGAAAAGCCATGCTCTTCTTCAATGTATATATGTTCTTAGGAGCATGAAAATACATATCTGAACTTCTGAAATGTATAGTTCTGTGACACTTTTGTCCAGAATATTTTTGTTGCCTTGCCTTCAATATTATTTTTCCCTTAGCAATTAAGTAAGATATAATTCATATTTAATAGCATTTGCTTTTTAAGAGTATATTTTGGTTTTGTTAGGGATTTTTGGTTTTGGGGTTTTTTTTTGTTTGTTTTTGGGTGGCAACACCTGGCTGTGCCCAGGGCTTACTCCTGGCCCTGCACTTAGGAATCACTTCTGGTGGTACTCTGGGGAGACAGGGATGGAACCCTGGCCAGCTGCATGCAAGGCAAGGCAAATGACCTGCCTGCTTTCTCTGATCCACAGGTGTAGGCTCACGGCTTTTTCATATATTTACAGCTGTGCAATCTCCAATGTCTATTTATAGGACATTTCACACACATCCCCCATTTGAAGCCCTTTCCCTATTAGCAGGCACTCCCTGTATCTCCTAGCCTTCAGTCGCTGCCTTAAGCCTTGACAACCACAGCCTTCTATTTCTATGAATTTGCCTATTCTGGACATTTCAAATAAATGGACTCCTGGCTCTGTAACCTTCTGACGTTTTGTTTGCTGTTTTTGATTTTGGGGGTCACACTAGCTTGATCAGGGGTTACTCCTGGCTCTGACTATACTCAGGAATTACTCCTTTGTGAGGTTTGGGAGATCATATGGAGTGCCAGGAATCCAGCCCTTGTCAAGTGCATGCAGGGCACTTGACTTGTTCCAGCCATCTTCTGTGATTTCTTAATGTTTTCAAGGTTTATCCTGTGGTGTAGCATTGGAGCGGTGCTTCACTTGTATTGCTGAAAAATACTGTATTACGTGGACATAACATGTTTTGTTTATATGTTTGTTAATTGACATTTGGTTTGTTCTCATTTTGAGAGAATATTATGAATAAGAATTCCATAAGCATTCAGGTTGTTAATGTGTATGTGATCATGATTCTTTCCAGTTCTGAAATAGAGTGCTCTGAGCATGTGTAGTCCCTGATCGCCTAGAGCCTCACTCTGATAATGGAAGGGATGAATATTATTCTAATTTTATAGCAGGAAAAAACTCGAGGGACAGAAGATTCATGACTTGATTGAGGATTTTCCAATTCAAGACTGGCTAGCACGTACATTAATTTAACTTTGAGGCTGCAATTAAAATCATAAGCTTTGAAACCAGTCGTGTCATCAGATACCAACTATTTACTAGCCTGTAAATATCACTGTTTACTTGACTTCCATCATGCAAAGCATGGTAAGACTACATTTTACATTTTGAATACTATGATTTAAATACTTTTTAAAAATACATTTTTTTTATGGTGCTAGGGCTCAGACCCAGGATCTTATACATGTGAGGTGTGTGCGCTGCCCCTGATTTACATCCTTGACCCTATTTTGTCTTTTGTTTGTTTGGGGGTCACATCTGAGGGTGCTTTGGGACTACTCAATGTTTGGGGCCAGTGCTTGGGGTCACTCCTAACTGTGATCTGGGGACATTGCAATGCTGGGGATTGAGGCTTGACTTCCAGTATACATGAGCTCCAGCCTGTTGAGCTTTCTCTCCAGCCTCCATCTCTTTTTGGGGGGATGGAGGGGTTGGTCCATACCCAAGTTTGCTCAGGGTTTAGGGATCATTCCTGGCTCTGTGCTTAGGGATTACTTCTGATGGTTCTTGGGGGCCATTTGTAATGCCAGGGATCAAACACATTTCCAACACATGGCAACGCAAGTGCCTTACCTACTGTGCTGTCTCCCCAACCCCC